CTGACCGACATGAATGATGACAACAGTGGACAACAGCAACAACAATACAATTATAAAAAGGCATAAGGATTTTTTTTTTTTTTTTTTACAAATAAGATGGCAAAAAATTAACAAAAAAAGCTAGACTATAAGGCGAATGTAGAAAACTAAAAACAGGAACATGTCTGCATTGGTCCCTGCCAGGAGTCCAACAGATTCTTAAAGCCACTTAGAGAGGTCAAAGGTCGAGAGCTTCAAATCTTTTTACAAGATATTCCAGGAAACAGGAGCGGAGTAGGAGAAGGTCCTTTTGTCTAGTTCAGTCCTCACTGAGGGAACACTGCAGGTAATGATGTCCTGAGAGCGCACGCTGTAGCTGCACTCACACAGAGACATGTAGGAGGAGATGTATGAAGGCAGCAGACCAAGAAGTGATTTAAAGATGAAAATGTACCAGTGGGAGAGTCTGTGTGAAGTTAATGGTGACCAGTTAACCAGTGAATACTGGGTGCAGTGGTGGGTACGGTAGTTACAGCCAGTTATGAATCTTAGTGCACCATGATAGACAGCATCCAACATCTGCAGCATCCAACATCTGCAGGGTTCTTGTAGGAGCGTTCATGTAAATAATGTCACCATAATCAATGGAGGGAAGGAAAGTCACAGATACAAGGTGTTTCCTAACATTCAGGGTTAGACAGGATCCGTTTCTGAAAAAGAAACCAGTTTAACTTTCAGTTTCTTTATCAAGTTTTCCACATGGAGCTTAAAAGAGAGATGAGAGTCGACCAAGATACCCAAATATTTATAGGAATCAACAAACTCAATGGGGACACCATTTGAGGATAAAATCGGAGGAAGAACTGCTGGGACCAACTTCCTGTTTGAAAAAAGCATTCCTTTGGTTTTGTCGACATTTAGGACAAGTTTGAGGCGGAACAAATCAGTCTGGATGATGTTGAATGCAGATTTCAAAAGCTGGAAAGCCTTAGCAACAGTTTTAGCTCGACAATAAACAACTGTGTCATCAGCATAGAAATGTATGGATGCATCAGGGATGTTTTTACCTACAATATGTATGTAGATTGTAAAGAGGGTGGGTCCTAAGACTGAGCCTTGTGGTACACCATTGTTGACTGTTAAATAAATGGAGGAAGTACCATTATGTTGAACACATTGCCTCCGGTCTGAAAGATAGTTAGAGAACCAACCAATGGTGTGATCTGAGAAACCGATTTCTGAGAGCTTATGACACAAGATGTTCTGATCCACAGTGTCAGAATCTTTAGACAGGTCTAAGAAAAGTGCAGCACAATAATCCTTAGCATCCAGTGCTTCAACAACATCATTAAGAACCTTCAGTGAAGCAGTGGTTGTGCTGTGTTGTTTCCTGAAACCAGATTGATGTGGAGGTAAGATGTTAAATGAGTCCAGGTCATTTTTGATTTGAGAGTTTATCAGTTTTTCTAGAACCTTTGCTAAAATGCAGAGTTTAGAGATTGGTCCATAGTTGTTCAGTGAGGTGGGGTCACCTCCCTTCAGCAAAGGAAGAACAAAGGCTGTTTTCAAGTGTCTGGATGGAGTTTTGTCTCATGGAGAGATTGAAGATGTGGGTCACAGGAACTGTGATGATATGAGCAGCCAGCCTTAAGAAATAAGGTGGAAGTTCATCTGGACCTGCAGATTTTTTTAGGGTCAAGATCTTTTAACAGTTTATTGACCTCAATGACTGAGAATGGAGAAAAAGAGAAGCTGTGATTAACTGAGGATTGACTTGTAGGAGGGATTTGATTTGTAGAAGTTTGGTTATTAAGTGAAGTGGCTGATCTTCCATTAGTAACTGTGTCAAATAAAGAACCAGAAGCAACAAAATGTTTGTTGAAACAGTTCAGGATCTCGTGCTTATTTGACACAGGAACAGAGTTAATGAGAAGTTGTGATGGGAGGTCAGAGGATTGGGGGGTGCCTGAGATAGATTTGATGGTTTTCCAGAATCTGTTAGGGTCATTTAGATTTTTGGAGGTCTGAGATAAGAAATAGTTGCGTTTTGCTGCTTTGACAGCAGTTGTACATTTATTCCTCATCTGTTGAAAACTCAACCAATCAGTGTCTGAGTCAGATTTTCTCGCTGCGGCCCAAAGATGATCTCTCCTGTGCAGGAGGTCAGCTGGCTCTGGAGTAAACTGGGGGCTGTCTAGTCCCTTTATTCTGAACTGACGAAAAGGAGCATGTTTGTTCACAAAATAAATGAAACTATTATGAAAATAGTTCCAAGCGGAGTTCACGTCATCAATTAATAGAATACGATGCCAGTCAAAGTGAGACAGATCCCAGAGGAATGACTGTTCACAAAAACGTTTCAGATCCCTTTTTTTAATTAATCTGGGCTTAGAAGGTGGAAGTTTAATATCTCTGAGAGTCACTGTCACACAATGATCACTCAAAATGTCAGCGAATACACCTGTACCAGGGATTTTGTGAGGCATATTAGTTAGAAACAGGTCTACGATGGAGGACTTTTCAGGACGGTTTTTGTTTGGTCTAGTGGGAGAGACGATCAGTTGGGTTAGATTGAGTAACAGGCAACATACCTTGAATTTATCACAGAGGGGGGTCGACTTATCCCAATCATTGTTGAAATCTCCTGCCAAAACGATCTCTTTGAATTTTAAATTACCAAGAAATTCCATCAGGGAGGACAGAGACTCAGGTGTTGCTGAAGGTGGGCGGTAACAGCAGACTACAGATAAGATCTGGCCTCCATTCAAGGTGATGTTTACAGCTAAGGCATCAAACTGGTTTGGAATTGTTTTAGCCGACACACGACTAGAAACCAGAGAATCTCTGATGTAAATAGCGACTCCACCACCCCTTTTTTGACGATCACAGCGGTAGATGTTAAATCCATTGATTACCAGGTCATTATTCAGTACAGATTTGTTGAGCCAGGTTACAGAGATGAAAATTACATCTGTCCCAGAAGAACTGAGCAGAATTTTCAAGGCATCAAGTTTTATCAGAAGGCTACGTGCATTTACACGCAGAAAATGAAGTCCTGACACGTTTTTAAAGTCATTTGGTGTGCTGTAATTAGTGGGGGGTCCAAGGTTGGGCTGAATCCCTGAGAGCAGTAACAACATTATTATCAGACATTTTCTTGAGTTTTTCGTGACTGATGTGTAATTACAGGAGTTAACAGTGTGACAATTAGCCCCCATAATCGAACCATGAGAAACATTAATGAAGACGCGATCATTCAGAACCCATAAACAGTGAAACAGTGAAAACAGTGAAAAACAGTGATAACAGTATAGTGATAACAGTAACACAGTATATAACAGGGTAAATGTATTCTTCCCTTAAAGTAACTCAATATACAGCCATTAATGTCTAAACCACCAGCAACAAAAGTGAATACACCCCTTATTGAAAGTTCCTGAAGTGCCAATATTTTTTGTGGCCACCATTATTTACCAGAACTGCCTTAACTCTCCTGGGCATGGAGTTTACCAGAGCTTCACTGGTTGCCACTGGAATGCTTTTCCACTCCTCCATGACGACATCACGGAGCTGGCAGATATTCAAGACTTTGCACTCCTCCACCTTCCGCTTGAGGATGCCCCAAAGATGTTCTATTGGGTTTAGGTCTGGAGACATGATTGGCCAGTCCATCACCTTTACCCTCAGCCTCTTCATTAAAGCAGAGGTCGTCTTTGAGGTGAGTTGGGTCATCATCATGCTGGAGCACTGCCCTGTGACCCAGTTTCTGGAGGGAGAGGATCATGCTCTGCTTCAGTATTTCACAGTACATATTGGAGTTCATGTGTCCCTCAATGAAATGCAACTCCCCAACATCTGCTACACTCATGCAGCCCCAGACCATGGCATTTCCACCACCATGCTTGACTGTAGGCATCACACACTTATCTTTGTACTCCTCACCTGATTGCCGCCACACGCTTGAGACCATCTGAACCAAACAAATTAATCTTGGTCTCATCAGACCATAGGACATGGTTCCAGTAATTCATGTCCTTTGTTGACATGTCTTCAGCAAACTGTTTGTGGACTTTCTTGTGTACAAAGTTCAGAAGAGGTTTCCTTCTGGGACGGCCATGCAGACCAGTTTGATGTAGTGTGCGGCGTATGGTCTGGGCACTGACAGGCTGACCCCCCACCTCTTCAATCTCTGCAGCAATGCTGACAGCACTCCTGCGTCTATCTTTCAAAGAAAGCATTTAGATGTGACGCTGAGCACGTGCACTCAGCCCCTCTGGACGATCAACGCGAGGTCTGTTCTGAGTGGACCCTGCTCTTTTAAAACACTGGATGATCTTGGCCACTGTGCTGCAGCTCAGCTTCAGGGTGTTGGCAATCCTCTTGTAGCCTTGGCCATCTTCATGTAGCGCAACAATTCATCTTTTAAGATCCTCAGAGAGTTCTTTGCCATGAGGTGCCATGTTGGAACTTTCAGTGACCAGTATGAGAGAGTGTGAGAGCTGTACTACAAAACTGAACACACCTGCTCCCTATGCACACCTGAGACCTAGTAACACTAACGAGTCACATGACATTTTGGAGGGAAAAAGACAAGCAGTGCTCAATTTAGACATTTAGGGGTGTAGTCTCTTTTGTTGCCAGTGGTTTAGACATGAATGGCTGTATACAGAGTTATTTTGAGGGAAGAATAAATTTACACTGTTATATAAGTTGCACACAGACCAGACTACTTTTCATTGTGTCAAAGTGTCATTTTGTCAGTGTTGTCCTATGAAAAGATATACTTAAATATCGGCAGGAATGTGAGGGGTGTACTCACTTATGTGATACACTGTATACCTTAAAAAAATGGGTCAGAATTGATTGGAATTGGGTAAGAATTAGTTTAAGAAACATTTACCCTGGCAACTCAATAGTTGTGTTATTGAGATAGTGCACACATATGAAATTCCCCTTTCAAAATAAAAGCCAAAACAAAGATGTTATGGGGGTTTAGTAGAGGAATGTGGTTATAAAAATACCTGTGGAACAGGACGCGTTTTCTTTGCTTTGCCTGTCTGTTTCTTCTGCTGGATGGGAGGAAGGGAAGGCAAAAAAAAGGAAGGAGAAGTTAATGCAGGAGAGTGGTTATTTTTAAATGAAAAAAAAAAAAAAAAAAACATAACAAAATTAAAACCAGGATCACCAACATCAAAACATATGATAAAGATGAAGGAAAGAAATCTTTGCAGGCCTGAAGGTTAAAAAAATGCAGGAGGGAAAACAGGAAAAAAAAAAAAAAAAACACCAGTTGTTCATTCTAAAACCATTTTCTGTTTGACAATGCTGCAACCACACTTTCAAACCCAAATCAGCCGGAGCATTAATCACTCGTTAGAAGCAAATATTCACAATTATTGCACTTATGGCATTTCTGTACTGGTTTTACAGATAAATTCAAGTCAAGAGTCAAGCAATTTAGGAAAAACTAAATATTTTGAAGGCAACCATCAGCTTCCAGAAATGAAGATGTATTTTTCCCTCCAAGCGTGGTCTAAACTGCTTTGGGCCACGGCTGTCTAGGAAAAGTAAACAGGCATACCATCTTCTAAATGTTTCTTTTTGAAAAACTACTTTCCTTTAAAAAAGGTTTGTGAGCTCAATCATCCAGGTAGATAACAAAAAAGGTTAAATCATGTCATCTGGACCAGTTTCTTAAGTGAGAATTGATCAGATGTGGTTGGCAGGCTGTAGACTGAGGAAGTCCTCTGGATGACAAAACGTTTCTCACTTAAATAAACTAGTCCAGATGACGTGATTTAACCTTTTTTTTTCTACTTTCCTTTAAGTTGCTTATTGCTTCATCAGGCCAACCTTTTCTTGAGACAGTTAGATAAACACATTTATAGTAAGTGCATTTATTATTGCTACTGTGGCTTTGTTATGCTGTAGTTTTGCTTTTAAAATATTTCAGATTAATTTAATAAATCTTGTAACATGCCCAATGTGGGAGAATTAATATTGTGACTCAGGTCAGTGTAAAATATGAAAATAAACAAACAAACTAATTTTCTGATATAAATAGTGCAAATGAAAACTGCTAGCAAACTCATAACTATTGGTATAATTTTTGATATTTTTTGATATAGCCTACTGATCTTGTACTGTGCAGCACAAGAAAATATAATTTAGTGTGTTTTAAAACACATCTGACTTGACTCAGGTCAATGCTACGGTCATCAACAGCTTTGTTTCCACTGAAATAGTACAATTATAAATGAAATAAACCAACAGCAGCTCTACTACAACACATATACTGTATGTACCAGTGCATCCAGGTTTACATATTTTAACAATGTTACTGTCCAAGGTCTCCTGTTGACTGACGGAAAGAGGCACCTGTGACCCTGTAAAGCAGAGTCCCCCCCCAAACCTGGTCCTCACCAGCCAGTGTTTTGGATGTTTTCAAAGCTTGTTTTGCTGCAACCAGTGGCATACTGTACTGGGCCTTCATGTTATTCAATGAAGTCCCAGAGTAAATCCAAAAGGAATACAATATTTTGACAAAATTCCGTCCGGGGGTCTTTCTGGGTGGAGTTTGCATGTTCTCTCCGTGTATGCAGGGGTTTTCTCCAGGTACTTTGGTTTCCTCCCACAGACCAAAAACATGCATGTTAGTCTGATTGGTAACTCTACATTGTCTCTAGGTGAGTGAGAGAGTGAATGTTTGTCTCGTTTGTCTCTATGTGTCCCTGTGATGGACTGGAGACCTGTCCAGGGTGTTCGCCTCTCGCACAGTGATGGACATGGGCACCAGTGACCCCCGCCACCCGAAAAGGAAGAAGCGGGTAAAGATGATGGATGGATGGATGGATGGACAGAGGGGAATTCGATATTTGCATGATATTCCCAGACCCATTAAAACAAAATGAGAGCACAAGTCCGTTTGGACAAGGTGACCAACCAGTCAGATTCAGAGTTGTGGTCAGGAGACTTAATAAATGCTAAAGGTTACAATACTTTGTTTAAAAAAGACTGGCCAAATTCTAAACATTATGAGATCTTACAGCTGTTTGATGAGCAGCTGGGAACAGGAAAGGCCATGAGAATATTAACTGTTAGCCAGATTTAATATTCACGTGAACATCAATGGAAAGAGGAACAGTTTTTGTCTCATTTTATTGCTGTGGATTTAACAATAGATAATGGTCACTTCTTTCGTCACCATTTTGTATTTCTGCAGTTCTGGTCACTTCTGTCCAGACCCTCCAGTCTTCCGACTACCTTAACAATGTGGGGATGCAGAGTAAAGCCCCCAGTATACTGCCGCGTACATCCATACGTAGAGATACGCACGTACGTATGCAGAGGTACGTGCGTACCCCCCAGCGTACCCTCCGTGCAAAGCTCCAATTTTTACGACCGCGTACGCGGTGTCGCACAATAAACTGCCCAGCGAGGGACTGTTTTGTATGCGACACCAATGTATTATTAAATTCCCCTTCTTCATCCCTGATCTGGCCTTTTCTTTAGTTTTTTTGCCAAGAGGCAGTGATCTCTTCCTCCTCCGTTGATGCCATGACTGAAATGGTGAGAAATGAAGGAATTTGTCACGAGCGAATTAAACTCAGGTCCAGTGTGGCTGCGGGAGGGTCTGGAGATTTCCTGGTGGGCTGGTCTGATGTGTGGGCTGCAGGGCCAGCGCTCCCTGTTTCTTTTTATTTTTTAGATCTTTTTATTAACATCATATAAACACAGAACACCGCTGCAGCTGAGGCTGCCAGCGCTCGCTTTTTTTATTTTTTCCTACCTGTCAATCAGTCCAGTAGGCGTGTCACCAAATGACCAATCGGCGACCTCAATTTGTCCCGAAGGTAAACGCCCCTCGTCTGTGAAGCTGCTCTGCAGCTGCTCGGGGTGGACGCTGGAGTATGAAGTCTGAACCCTCTGCGTACGTACGCGTGAACGGACATACGCGGAAGTATACTGGAGGCTTAACAAAGAAAGCCATGTGACTAGTTAACATAAGCAATGAAGTATATTTCACTGAACTGCTTTGTTCTTAAACACACTATTGTTTCCTGACTGCGGGGCTTTCTCCAAAGCATTTTACATGTGCTAATGTATGTATCGTGATTTTTTTGGTCTTGGACAGAAGAATGAAGCATTTAAGAGAAATATGCACTGGTCTATGCAGAGAAAATTGTGTTGTGAACAATCTAAATAAAAAATACATCAACAGGTTGTGGTATTGTTTTTTTTTGGTGTGGTTTATTTATTTATTTATTTATTTACTTAACAGCACGATGGATCAGTGGTTAGCACTGTTGCCTCACAGCAAGAAGGTCCTGGGTTCAATCCCCAGTTGGAGCTGGGGTCTTTCTGTGTGGAGTTTGCATGTTCTTCTTGTGCACGCATAGTTTTTCTCCAGGTACTCTGGTTTCCTCCAACAGATCAAAAACATTCATGTCAGTCTGCCTTCAGGCCCAGACCTCCCTTGCAAAAGAGATCTGTGATCTCAATGGGATTTGCCTGGTTAAATAAAAGTTAAATAAATAAATAAATTTGACCTTTATTTTACAAGGTGAAATGTTTGTGAACCAGTTCCCACTTACCAACATAACCTGGTCAGTCTACTACACATCAACTAGGTAGTGTTGCTTTACATGCCTCTGTTTAATATGTGGAGTGTGTGGGAGGTATGGTAGGGCAGAGAAGGACTAGTAGTAATGAGCACGTCCACCACTGGCTTCAACACAGCTGCTTTAAAAGAACGAGTCTTGAACTGGGTTCTACAGAACATGATGACATGATGAGGAGGCAAGTTATGCATTTGAATCAGGTACAGTGGGGCAAAAAAGTATTTAGTCAGTCACTGATTGTGCATGTTCTCCTACTTAGAAAGATGAGAGAGGCCTGTAATTTTCATCATAGGTACACTTCAACTATGAGACAAAATGAGGAGAAAAAAATCCAGGGAATCACATTGTAAGATTTTTAAATAATTTATTTGTAAATGATGGTGGAAAATAAGTATTTGTTCAAAAACAAACAAGCAAGATTTCTGTCTCTCACGGACCTGTAACTTCTCCTGTAAGAAGCTCTTCTGTCCTCCACTTGTTACCTGTATTAATGGACCAGTTTGACCTCATTATCTGTATAAAAGACACCTGTCCACAGCCTCAAACAGTCAGACTCCAAACTCCACAGTGACCAACACCAAAGAGCTGTTGAAGGACACCAGGAAGAAGATTGTAGACCTGCACCAGGCTGGGAAGAGTGAATCTACAATAGAGAAGCAGGTTGGTGGGAATAAATCAACTGTGGGAGCAACTGTAAGAAAATGGAAGACAAACAAGACCATTGATAATCTCCCTCAATCTGGGGCCACACGCAACATCTCATCCCGTGGGGTCAAAATGATCATGAGGACGGTGCACAAAAATCCCAGAACTCCACGAAGAGACCTGATGAATGACCTGCAGAGAGCTGGGCCAAAGTAACAAAGGTACTGTCAGTAACACACTACGCTGAGAGGGACTCAAGTCCTGCAGTGCCAGGCGTGTCCCCCTGCTTAAGCCAGTGCATGACCAGGCCCGTCTGGTTTGCCAGAGAGCATATAGATGATCCAGAAGAGGACTGGGAGAATATCATGTGGTCTGATGAAACCAAAATAGAACTTTTTGGTAAAAACTGAACTCGTCATGTTTGGAAGAAGAAGAATGCTGAGTTACATTCCAAGAACACTATACCTACTGTGAAGCATGGGGGTGGAAACATCATGCTTTGGGGCTGGTTTTGTGCAAAGGGGGCAGAAAGACTGATCCGTGTTAAGGGAAGAATGAAAGGGGCCATGCATCATGAGATTTTAAGCCCTAACCTCGTTCCATCAGTGAGAGCATTGAAGATGGAACGTGGTTGGGTCTTCCAGCATGACGATGATCCCAAACACACCGCTCGGGCAACGAAGGAGTGGCTCCGTGCAAAGCATTTCAAGGTCCTGGAGTGGCCTAGCCAGTCGCCAGACCTCAACCCCATAAAAAATTAGTGCAGGGAGTTGAACGTCTGTGTTGTCCAGCGACAGCCCCAAAACATCACAGCTCTGCACGGAGGAATGGTCCAGAATAGCAGCTACAGTGTGTGCAGACCTGGTGAAGACTTACAGGAAACGTTTGACCTCTGTCATTGCCAACAAAGGTGATGTTACAAAGTACTGAGCTGAACTTTTGTTACTGACCAAATACTTATTTTCCACCATAATTTATAAATAAATTCTTTAAAAATCCTACAATGTGATTTCCTGGATTCCACCTGACAATGCACTGCAGGTGACAAAGTTTACAGAACTTGATCTACTGTATCCCTACTTTGCGGTTTTTCCACTTGTCATACGCACGGGTGTGTGTGTGTGTGTGTGGGGGGGGGGCCTAAACCTCGCAATAAACGAGGGACTACTGTATTGGGAATAATATGCTTTTAAATCAGCGTAATGGGATCTGCCATGACATGACTGCATGATAAAATATAAGTCAGAAGCAAATAAATCAAATATTGTAAGCACAGGTTGCAGTGACTCTCGGTGCACTGTTTTGACTCCAAGTTGCCATTTACCTCTAAATCAGGGCATGATCGCTTGGCAGGAGGGGACCGGGAGCCCACAATCCCCTCTGGTTGTTTAGACAAGTGCTTCAACATAATACACTTCTTGACTGGAAAATCTCTGCAGAGAAACACAGACATGGCATTCATTACACCATCAAAATCACTGAGCATGTAAATGGCATATCTTTGTGAAATATCTGTGCTTTGTGGAAATTGTATCATCAAACATTTAGCTTTCAATAACTTTTAAAAAATATGAGGCGAGTGTGATGAAGCACTGAGTCACTTTTGATGCTGCATTTAGAGCAAAAAGCTGTTCATGTTTCAGTAAACTACTGCCAAGACTAAAACAGCTCCATCCTCAAAGACTACCAGTGTTTTGACATGCACCAATGTGAAATATTTACTGATGGCTGATGGTCTGGGGGGTGGAATAACATAATAAAGGGAGTAATCTGCTGCACTGCTGCCTTCAAACTAGAGCAAGCATATCAGGAAAGGTACAACAAATCCTCTCCTGTTGATGAGTGTTATTGCATCCACAAACACATAGTCAAAGAAGGAATAAAATCCTGTTGCATTTTTAAATGTAGGAAAAACAAAAAAAAACACCTTACTATTATAGAGCTTTTCAACAGAGCGCCTCACACCCAGAGGTCTCAAACAAAACCCAGAGCACATAAGTGGTTTCTGTTTGTCCGAGACAAACTTTTCATCTCAGACAAACGGATATCACCTCAAGGTTGTCCGGTGGACAACCAAGTGAAAGAGACATGAATCAAAGAGGTCCGTCGCCACGATGGAATTCCGTTATCTGTAAAAATGAAGGGGTGTTGTCCTGATGCATGCTCAATAATCCAGGTTAATCCAAGGGGTGTTGTGTTCTCAACCATCGTGAGTCCTGAGTGGGACAGTCCCAGATTTTGCTCCACTGTCCCTCATCCCGCATAAGGAGGTGACGAGAGGTGGCTGGACCCACATGTCGTGTCTGTGTGGGAGGAGGGACACAGAGGGCTTGTTCCATGGGCCTGCTGCAACAGCAGGAGTCAGGTGGCTGGAATAAGTCTGAGCATGAGTCCGAGTCCGAGCCCGAGCCCGAGCCCGAGTCCGTGCCCGAGCCAGAGCCAGAGCCAGAGCCCGAGTCCGAGCCCGAGCCCGAGTCCGTGCCCGAGTCCGAGTCCGAGCCCGAGCCCGAGTCCGAGTCCGAGCCCGAGTCTGAGTCTGAGCCTGGCTGTAAAGTGCATTTTGTTTCTGATAGCACAAACGATCACAAAGTCTCTCGGAATAAATGATCATATGTTTGTGAAGTTCAAGTATGTTGATTCATTGAGTCATTCTGCCAGCAACAATCATTTGCAGGTTGCAAATCTTTGCTTATTACATTAGTGTGTGTGTGTGCGTGCGTGCGTGTGTCCATGAGTCATTTCAACATGTAAAGGTTTAGAGTAAAAGTAAATAATCTAATGTTTAGTTGTTGTGGACATCATTAGCTGAAGAATGGTGGACTCATGATTTGTAGACTCAGATGTGGTATTTGTAGAGAAGCTCGTTTGTTTTTGTTTCTTTACTTGTTCTATTTTATCCAAAAAAGTTCAATCTGGTCCTCTGGACATTCAAAAAAAAAAAAAAACAAAGCAAAAAAATGTAGAAACGTTTCGTCTCTCATCCTGAGGACTTCCTCAGTCTGAGGTGCTGTATTCAGCTCAGTCTCTTAAATAGCACCTTCTCAGAGTGGATCAACCAGTTTTGCTGCTGACAACCAGAACCAGCTGATCACATGCTCAAGAAGGACCATCAGCCTAACAATGGATCATTAGCACCTAATGGCTGTTTACTGTTCACAGAGGGCTGAGTGATACTAGCAATCACAGCATTGTAAGAGGGGGACAGTTGAACCCGGAGGCTCCACCCCTGTTTAATGATGGACGGTTTCTTTTCACAAAGATGGCCTCCTTTACTCCTCTCTCAAACCATTGTTCCTCTCTGTCCAGGATGTGAACATCTTCATCCTTGAAAGAGTGACCGCTGGCCTGGAGATGAGTGTAGACCTCAGAGTCCTGGCCTGATGATGTTGATCTTCTGTGCTGGTCCATCCTTTTGGCCAGTGGCTGTTTAGTTTCCCCGATGTAAGACTGATCACCCTCCTGACACTGAACAACATACACAATATTACTCTGTTTGTATCAGGGGACTGGATCTTTGGGATGAACCAGTCTTTGCCGTAATGTATTTTGGGGTTTAAAAGCCACTGGGACGTTATGTTTAGAAAATAAACGTCTCAGTTTCTCTGATACCCCCTCAACATATGGAATGACCACTGGTCTGGGTCTGGGTTCCTCCTTTTCACCTGATGGCTGACTGGAGTCCTGTTTGGGTTTCTTCTCTGCTTTCAGGAAGGCCCAGTTAGGATATCCACATTGCTCTAGAGCCTGTCTTGTGTGGGATTTCTCCTTCTGCCTGGCTCCTGAGCTAGTGGGGATGCTGTCTGCTCTGTGGTACAGAGTCCTGATGACTCCTAACTTGTGCTCCAAAGGGTGATGGGAGTCAAACTGCAAATACTGGTCTGTGTGGGTGGGTTTGTGGTACACCTCAGTTTGCAAATGTCCTCTATCAGAGACTGAGACCTCACAGTCCAAGAAAGCCAACCTGCCATTATTTTACATCTTCTCGTGTGAACTTGATGTATTTATCCACAGAGTTGATGTGGTCAGTAAAATGTTGGACTTCCTGAGATTTAATTTTAACCCAGGTGTCGTCAACATACCTGAACCAATGACTTGGTGGTGTCCCTGAAAAGGACGTCAAGGCTCTCTTTTCTACCTCCTCCATGTACAGGTTGGCAACAATAGGAGAAACTGGAGACCCCATAGCACACCCATGTTTCTGCCTATAATATTGCTCCCCATATGTGAAGTAGGTTGACTGCAGGCACAGTTTCAAGAGTTGACACAGTTGTTCTGTGGAAAGCGTGGTCCTGCTGCTCAGAGTGGTGTCTGATTTTAATCTTAAACTGACCACCTCTACTGCATCCTCAACAGGAATGCACGTAAAGAGTGATGTGACATCAAAAGAGACCATTGTTTCATCAGTCTCCATGATGACATCCCTCACCTTATCCACAAAGTCCATGGTGTTCTGTATGTGGTGTTCTGAGCTGCCAACTAAAGGGATTAGTACAGACGCCAGATATTTGGAAACATTGAAAGTGACAGAGTTAATCATACTAACAATTGGTCTTAAAGGTACACCTTGTTTGTGGATTTTAGGTAAACCATACAGACTAGGTGTGGCCTCCCCTGGGTACAGTCTGTGGTACAGAAAATGGTCAATAGCCTTGTCCTGCTCCAAATTTTTCAGGCAATCTATTAACTTCTTCTTGTAACCACTTCCTGGATCTCTTTTCAGAGGTTCATAAGTGTTTAAGTCACTAAGGAGTGTCATAACTTTCTAATGATAGTCTTTCTGGTTCAAAATCACTGTGCACCTTCCTTTGTCTGCTGGGAGAATGATGATGTTTTTGTCCTTGCTAAGAGTGGTGAGTGCGTCCCTCTCCTCTCTACTGATGTTGGAAGGTGGTGGTTTGGCATTGCTGAGGCAGGATGAAACTTTGATTCTGAGCTGTTCTGCTTCAGCCTCTTTCATTTTGTTGTTGCGGATGGCTGACTCAGTAGCTGTGATCATCTCCACCAGAGGAATTCTACTTGGTGCAACCGCAAAGTTCAGTCCCCTGGCAAGAATCTCTGTCTCTGGCTGGGTGAGCTGTCTGTCAGATAAATTCTTCACCCACTTTTCTGTCTCCCTGGCATGTAATTGACTACTGGAGTGTTGTCCTACACTGAATGTGTTGTTATTGGAATAGTGATGGTGTTGATGAGTTATTAGTACGTTAAACTTGTTTTGTTGTCGAGTCTTGGACTTGACATGCTGTGCTAAGCGTGCCTGATCTGTACAGTCCAACACTTGCTGAAGTGTGGTCTGATCTAGACACATAGTTAGTTTCTGTTTAATGTGCTCTTCTTTTGCCTTCAAGGCCTCAATAGTAAAATTGGTCTGTCTCACCCGTTCATTCAGCAGCTGGGTCTGTGCCTTCTGAAGGATCTTGCTTGCCCGGTGCCCGCTGACCGCTGATTTTAGTTCCAGGCTCTTGGGAATGATGCCACTTTGTCGACATCTGAGGTTGAATCGCAAATGGTTCCTGTAGTCTGCCCTCTTCCTTGCTGTTTTCTCAAACTCTCTAACTAGTTTGAGGCAATCCTGGCCAAAGTGGTTCAAAATATCCTGATGCATGCTTTTTTTTTTTT